ATCTGTGCAAGCAATATCGCTAATGGAAGAAAATAGAAGGTGAGGGTGTCATGCAGTTTTTACAGATCTTTGCATACAACATCGCTGTTGGGAGTAAATAGAAGGTTAGTGTGTCACACAGTGTTTTTATGGATCTTTGGGCACAACTTCGGTATTGGGAGAAAATAGAAGGTAAGGATGTCATACAGTGTTTTTATGGCTCTTTGCATACAACTTTGCTATTGGGAGAAAAATAGAAGGTAAGGATGCCTCATACAGTGCTTCTATGGATCTTTGCATACAACTTCGCTATTGGGAGAAATAGAAGGTAAGGATGTCATACAGTGTTTTTATGGATCTTTTGCATACAACTCTCGCTATTGGGAGAAGATAGAAGGTAAGGGTGTCATACAGTGCTTTTTGTATGGATCTTTGCATACAACTTCACTATTGGGAGAAGATAGAAGGTAAGGATGTCATACAGTGTTTTATGGATCTTTGCATACAACATCGCTATTGGGAGAAAATAGAAAGTAAGGATGTCATACAGTGTTTTTATGGATCTTTGCATACAACTTCGCTGTTGGGAGAAGATAGAAGTTTAGTGTGTCAAACAGTGTCTTTAAGAATCGTTGCATACAACATTGCTACTGGGAGAAAATAGAAGGTAAGGATGTCATACAGTGTTTTTATGGATCTTTGCATAAAAAACATCGCTATTGGGAGAAGATAGAAGGTTAGGGGAAATATTGTGATAACGATCTCTGTACACAACATTGCTTTTGTGAGAAAATACATTTTTCGTGTGACACTGTGATAATTTAAAAGGTTTTGAGAGCATAGAAGGTACATGTGACAAACTGACTGTTACTAATTGTGAGCATCAAACTAAAGCTCTGTACTTTTGTGTATCAATCGTGTCAACAAGATCATGATTTTTCTGTTACTGGAGCATTGGTTGTAGAAGGTTGCACTTGAACCATCTACAAATATTTCATAACAATAGACGTAATAGTACAAAACTCAATATATTTATTTTCATTACTAGCTCATATATATTCTTAAATGTGAACAACATATTTAACAAAACGATAAAATTCAACATTTGATAAGGATATGACGTATGGCCTATTTAATATACTGAGTCAAAAAAGAAACTTCACAAAATGTAATTTGAAAAATAATGAATAATTTTTCTCTGATGATACATCTATGCATCCGAAATGGGATCCCTATCTTTCGACTCTAGAAAAAACGTTAGCAAAACCCACTCAAACCCATCCATTCGTCGTGCAAATGACGTTAGTGCCAAATCAGGTTTTGCAATAGAGCACGTTTTGGTATGCACTTGGGAGAAGGCTTCGTGGTCTTAGGAACCAACCTCAGAATTTGCAGGAACTTGGCGCTGCCTTGCAAGAGCAATGGCGCAGAATCCCCAACCACTTGTTCACAAGCATCAGGCAGTCGATGAGGAGACGGTGTTTGGCAGTGGTGAATGCGCGGGGAGGCCATACACGATATTGAACTGAGAAATTTCGCATTTTTGTTCTTGTGGACTTGACATTCTGTATACCCATGTTTTGAACGGCGGTGCAGCCTAATGGAACTGATTATGGCACTGTCAGTGTATCGAGTACATCACACAGATCTCAGCAATGAAATGATAACAATTTAACCATCTTACCATCTCTTGTTCTTTATAGTGCCCTGAAGAAAGAATGTGAAGTTTCTTTTTGACTTAGTATATATACTTGATATACTTTGATATATATATTACTGAGAAAATAGTGGACAATGTATCAAACATGGATAATTATATTCATCGTGGCAATATCATCCACACTATATTCACACACACACGTCACACCCATACACACACACGTCATACCCATTACACCCCCACCCCGCCCACCCACCCTACACACATACTCATATTTATTACCTACAAGGGCGAAAATAGCGGGGTTCATATTTTTCTTACAGTCGCTCGCGCTCAGGAAAAACCATTTAGGCACTCGTGTCGTAAATAGTCTGACATGGTCACATATGACCTATAATATCCTCTATGTATAAACACACTCATACATACACTGGAGGAATATTGTGGCATGCAGCGTTAACCAACCATCAAAGAAAACAGGTATCCAATACCAGAGGAATATTGCGACATGCGGCTTAAGCAACCATCAACCAAAGCAAAACACTGGTATCCAATACCAGAGGAATATTGCGACAAGCGACCTTTAACCAACCATCAAACAAACAAAACACTGGTATCCAATACCGGAGGAATATTGCAGCATGCAGCGTTAACCCAACCATCAAACTAACAAAACACTGGGATCCAATACCAGAGGAATATGGCGACATGCGGCGTTAACCAACCATCAAACAAACAAAACACTGGTATTCAATACCAGATGAATATTAATGGCATGCAGGGTTAACCAACCATCAAACTAACAAACACTGGTATCCAATACCAGAGGAATAGTGCGACATGCGGCGTTAACCAACCATCAAACTAACAAACACTGGTATCCAATACCGGAGGAATATTGCGACATGCGGCGTTAACCAACCATCAAACAAACAAAACACTGGTATCCAATACCAGAGGAATATTGCGACATGCGGCGTTAACCAACCATCAAACTAACAAACATTGGTATCAATACCGGAGGAATATTGCAGCATGCAGTGTTAACCAACCATCAAACAAACAAAACACTGGGATCCAATACCGAGAGGAATATTGCGACATGCAGCGTTAACCAACCATTAAACAAACACAACACTGGGATCAATACCACAGGAATATAGTGCGACATGCGATGTTAACCAACCATCAAACTAACAAACATTGGTATCCAATACCGGAGGAATATTGCAGCATACAGTGTTAACCAACCATCAAGCAAACAAAACACTGGGATCAATACCGGAGGAATATTGCTGGCATGCGGCGTTAACCAACCAACCAAAAACAAAACACTGGTATTCAATACCAGATGAATATTAATGGCATGCAGCGTTTACCAACATCAAACAAACAAAACACTGGGATTCAACACTGGAGGAATATTGTGATTGCTGATGATGTTAAGAGGGGGATGGGGGTGAGTCATCAGTTTGTATATAGACATATATTATGCAATAAATATCATGCTAGTATGAAACCAATATCACAAAGTGGAAAATATTCACATATGTGAAACCAATATTACAACAAATTAGAATAAATTATATTTAATCTAGAACGCCTCTTACGATTGTCAGGGTATTACTGAACAAGCGGCTATCATCGAACAAAATTCTATTATTTCCGTATATTTTTCTCAATTTGCAATGGTATTACAGCTTTCCGTCTGACAGGCGATGTAGCGTCAGAGCTTTCAGAGAATCTTACAATTCATTTCACCCGTTTCCACGAGAGTTTCAACAGTCATTACCGAAAACTTCGGGACAAAAGGAAGGGGAGGAGAGGTGTGCCGCACCCTGCCAATTATATACAGGGCAATACAACAGAACATATCTTTCACCCTCAACATCCTCACTACACGGAAGACATACCATCTCATTTACGTTCACATTTGTATATCTGCCGGTTCCAAATGCAGAGGAGCAGTACCTGATCTGAATCTGGGGAAGGCAGAGCCCGGTATGAACAAGGGCATACACATACTCACGTAACTTTCACAGCCATACACATCCTTAAACATTCCATGCGATCGTAGTTTATTACCTCCCCGTTCTACCGCTTGGCGGTACTAGGCTCCTACCAACCACTCACATAGTTCTACATACAAATATCTCGCACACACTCACATACACGTTTAACACTAACATCAGCTACCACACTCAGGCCCCATTCATTTAACCTTGCTTTAATTCGTTTAATTCCAATTTCTCACACGTCCACTCGCACATCACACCACATAAAACATACTTGTTTATTCTGAAAGACATTTTTCTAAAACGACTAGCATTGCCTAGCAATTGTCACACCCCATTAATCCCCATTCCCACAACGTTGGAGGGATCCCAACCCCATGTCCCCATTCACTCGTCACGCAACGTTAGATCCCCACGCTGCACAATACCCAATTTCCCCCGCCGTGATATTGCTGGAATATTGCTAAACGCGGCGTAAAACCAAACTCGATGGTCAGTCTTAAAGAACGATGGTGGACAGCATTTGCAGCGGAAACCTCCCGATGACCCCAGATAGAGTGAGTGAGTGAGTTGAGTTTTACGCCGCACTCAGCTAATATTCCAGCTATATGGCGATGGTCTGTAAATAATCGAGTCTGGACCAGACAATCCAGTGATCAACAGCAGCACGAGCATCGATCTGCGCAATTGGGAACGGATGACATGTAGTCAACCAAGTCAGAGAGCCTGACCACCCGATCCCGTTAGTCGCCTCTTACGACAAGCACAGTCGCCTTTTGTGGCAAGCACCGGTTGCTGAAGACCTATTCTTCCCCGGATCTTCACGGGGTACCCCAGATAGCAGTCAAAGGTAGTTAATCTCACGACTTTGGTGAGAGGGCACTCTGCTGAGAAAGCTGCCCCACCTTACACGTCATGTATCAGGCACCATTATGTTATTTAGTTACTAAAATTTCAGTCACATAAATCAATGTTAGCCGATACTAAAAGTGCCATAAGGACCAAATGAATGTTAGTCTTAAACAACACGTTTCTTGGTTCTCTAATTGGACCATGAACATGATTTTTAAGAATCTGTAAACAATTCCGTTATTATCACTACTGTCCATGTTGAAATAAATAATTTGCATGAAAAATTACCCCTCAACCCCCATAAGAAAATACATACATGTCAGTTATGTAAAGAGATCAAATAATAATTACTACAGAGCTACAATTTGTGCAGAGGCATGGGCGATAGTAGGAATGTGTTGCAATTAGTAATATTTTAAACCCAAATAAACAGAATCGTAAAAACGCATACCTTACCATCAACCGATAAATGCTATAATAATGTTTATAATGTTAATGATTTTGCACCAATGTATGCGTTTATCTTTTGAAAAAGGTGACAAATTTTGTCTTCAAACAAATGACGAGAAGTCGATCGAATGATCGTCTGTAATGTAATAGTAAATCGTGAAATATATTCATCCCTATTTTTTATATGTAAGAAACGTATCTTAAAACGTATCTTTTATCAATACAAATGTACATGTATTATCATATTTGATAAGATACCGAGAAAATACAATTCATGCTTGCTTTTTATACAGGAACAGTAACTCGAGTATCAGGGTTATCCCGAAGAGATAAAAGAGATAAAAAGATCAGTTGTAACATAGCGTACCTTGACTTGTTTGGAATTTGGGACTGTTTGGAATAGCCCAACATGACTGTTTGGAATAGCGTGGATAAGGGTGTTCGGAATAGCCCGACACAACTGTTTGAAATAGCCTGACAAAGGGTGTTTTTGGAATAACCCGACATTGCTGTTTGAAATAGCACGACATGACTGTTTGGAATAACCCGACAAAAGTGTTTGGGAATAGCACGACGCGTGGCTGTTTTGGAATAACCCGACATGGCTGTTTGGAATAGTCCGACATGGCTGTTTGGAATAGTAACCCGACATGGCTTTTTGGAATAACCCGACATGACTGTTTGGAATAACCTGACATGGCTAGCCGACATGACTGTTGGAATAACCCGACAAGGGGTGTTTGGAATAGCCCGACATGACTGTTTGGAATAACCTGACATGGCTGTTTGGAATAGCACGACATGACTGTTTGGAATAGCCCGACAAGGGTGTTTGGAATAGCCCGACATGGCTGTTTGGAATAACCCGCCAAGGGTGTTTGGAATAACCCGACATGGCTGTTTGGAATAGAATCTGACATGGCTGTTTGGAATAGTCTGACATGGCTGTTTCGAATAACCCGACATGACTGTTTGGAATAGCACGACATGGCTGTTTGGAATAGCCCGACATGGATGTTTAGGAATAACCCGACAAGGGTGTTTGGAATAGCCCACGACTATTTGGAATAACCCGACATGACTGTTTGGAATAGCACGACATGGCTGTTTGGAATACATGGATGTTTAGGACAAAACCCGATTAAGAGGGTGTTTGGAATAGCCTGACATGACTGTTTGGAATAACCTGACATGACTGTTTGGAATAGCCCGACATGACATGTTTGGAATAACCTGACATGGCTGTTTGGAATAACGACATGACTGTTTTGGAATAGCCTGACAATTTACTGCTCCTGAATAGCCCAACATGACAGTTTAAGGAATAGCCCGACATGGATTGTTTCACGAGAATAGCCTGAGAAGGGTGTTCCAGAATAACGACTGACTCTTTGGATTAGCCCGACGCTGACTGTTTGGAATAACCACGACAAGACTGTTCCGGAATAGCCTGAAGGTGTTTAGAATAACCATGACTCTTTGGATTAGCCCGGTGACTGTTTGGAATAACCCGACAAATTAATGTTCGGAATAGCCTGAAGGGTGTTCGGAATACCCTGACATGGGTGTTTGGAAGAGCCGACAAGGACTGTTTGGAATAGCCGCATGACTGTTTGGAATAACTGAAATGGCTGACAATAATACGACATGGGTGTTTGGAATAACCCGACATGACTGTTTTGGAATAACAACATGGCTGCTTGAAATAACCCGACATTACTAGTTTGGAATAGCCTGACAAGGTGTTTGGAATAACCCGACTTGTAGCTGTTTTGAATAGTCCGACATGACTGTTTGGAATAACCTGACATGACTGTTTGGAATAACCAACATGGCTGTTTGAAATGACCCGACATTGCACTGTTAGAATAGCCTGATGACATGACTGTTTGGAATAACCCGACATATCTGTTTGGAATAACCCGAATAAAAGGCTGTTTGGGAATAGCCTGACGCAACTGTTTGGAATAACCCGACAAGGCTGTTTGGAATAACTCGATAAGGCTGTTTGGAATAATCCAAGAAAGAGTGTTTGGACGAGTCGACAAGATTTTAAAGAAGAGAAGAAAGTTTGATAATGTGAAATATCTTATAGCAAAATGATTGGTAGACAAGTCTTACTTGCCTTGATGTGTATCTTTGATTCCCGGTTCTTTGTCAGTATTGCTTATTGCTTCATATAATAAAACACAACAGGAATGGGAAGGGCGGGGGTATGAATGTTAGCTGTTCGGTAATACCCTGACACCGATCTACACAAGAAGGGGAATCCTGCTTGAATGATTTTGCACATTTTGTCGAAACACTCGATTCTGAGTCGTTTCCTCAGAGCTTTCACTGTGACATATTCACATCAACTACTGTGATAATTTCAATATATGAATAATTGTGTGTGGATTCAAAAACCTTTTTCGGTATGAAAAATCAATAAAAGCTAAAAAATCTGGTTTTGAAACAATTTTTTACATTTTGTGTGTTCACTTCTTCTGTGTCCCTTGACTTGCATCACACGTCATTAGAATCGTATCATTTACTGTCGGACAATTACATCGTCTACAGCAATAGTCTTCATCATGCTAATATTAGTGTGAGTATTTAAAATGTTTTCCAGTCTCAGGAGGAACTCAGGAAAGGGTGAAAGCAGACATCCGAAGAACTTGGTTGTATTTTGTACACAACAAACAGAACACAAACCGAACCCTTCTATGTCCGCTTCACTCACTTCCTTGAAACAGTTGATAGAAATATCTCCGTTACACAGATAACTTCACACAACCTCATGGCTGACTTCACACAGTCTCATGGCCGATTTCACAGTTTCATGGCCAGTTAATTTTTCTATTCCAGCGCTTGGTAGATGAGAGAGTCTTCTTTGTGTCAGTCATGTCGATGTCCTCCCCGCTGATCAGACTCATGGACAGAGTGTGGTCAAGGAATACCGGCGGCCCAGCACTAAACATGGGGAAGAGTGGCTCACTGAACTCACCATTACACTTGCCTAGAACAACCTGTCTGTCCAAGGTCGATGAATGCCAACTCTGTCCCTCCCCCACATCCAGTACAACGCCATAGTGGAGGGTGGCCTGTGTGCCAAGGGTGTTGGTCGGATGGTGTTCTGGTGACACCTCGCCCCTGCCCCTCCCTCCACACCCAGGTACCAGATACTCTCCCTGTGTGATGCTACATCTCCCTTCACGCGGACACACCAGGAGCGGTGGCGCTGTCCATAAACATACAACCAACTGTCCACCTGTCCTGCCTCACACAGTCCCATCTCTAGCAGGACTGGCAGGTACAGCCTATCATCCACCCTCAATTCTGGTTTCTGTCTCCCAGTATCTGGGGGTGGTGGGTAGGGGTGTGTGGAGGGAGGAGGAGGATGGAGGAAGGGGGATGGGGAGCTACAGGTCCCTATGTACTTCTGTAGTCTGTTCTGCCCCTCATCCCGTGTGTCGGGCGGCGCGAGTTAACTAGCTGACCGTCTGTCGTTACGTGGCACCTCCTCTGTGTTCGCCCGTGCCGCGTCCAGGTGGAGTTTAGGACCTGGAATAAACATTGTATTTGTTGTGTAGCAAGTTTATTTCACTGTTTGTCACAAACTGAGACACAGAAAGATATTTACTAAAATATCGGCAGATTGTGGATTGTTTCCCAAACAGTGCGCTGAATGTTTGTCTGTGTTTTCATCCGTGTAGAATATCTCCCACTACTGAGCTATATTAGCGCTAATTATTACGTAAAAATATTACTACGAGAATTCAAAATGCAATTTCATTAAGAAACAAGTGGATTAGTTTACAGAAAACGTAATATAAAAGAATTTTTAGTACACTTCTGATTTACCCCCATTGTTGTGATATCTGCCAGACGTGGACGATGTTCGGGAGTAAAATACGATCTCAGTGAAGTGAATTTCTCAACAAAAGTGTTTGTGGTGTAGATTCTATATGAATCTGTCACATTATATAAACAAATAAACTTAACAGTATCGTGTTTTAGGGTAGTTTTGACATTTTCTGTGTTCATCATACACCACATGAACAGGTAACTTCTATGTCCGCTTCAGTCACTTTCACAGTTACACCGTCAGTCAGTGTGTCGCGATATGTTTACAAACGCTGGTCAGAGATGAATGGCCAAACTTTTGTCAACTTTCTACGTTATTCAAGTGTTGAAAGAAGCAGTTCTATGGTTCTATAATTGTACTGACATCAGTAATGGTTTGAGATTCAGTTAACGCCGACAGATGCGTTTTACAGCAATGAAGACGGTTGAGGGGAAATAGCACACATGTTTTACTTCGTTCTGTTGTTTGAACATTTCACTTTTATCAGGGATGGAAAGTTGAATAGGCTGTGTGAAATTAACTCATAACCCAATATATTTGAAATATATTTTACATGAACTGGTTACAACTATGTCAACTCTTTCACTGATAGACGGTCACAGTCTCGTTGAGCGAGTTGAGGTCGCGCTCTGCGCGCGCGTATGTGTGTGCGTGTGTTTAGTTTGCCGATGGTATTACACACCATCACAAGTGATGTTTATCAAATTCACGCTTGTTTAAATCTCGTAGACAAAACAGACTCGACTTTGCGAGCGGCGAGTTTAGTTTTACGCCACTTTTAGCAATATTCCAGCAATATTACGACGGGGACACCAGAAATGGGCTTCACACTTGTACCTATATGGGGGTCGAACCCGAGTTTTCAGTGTGACAAGCGAACGCTTTAACCACTAGGCTTCCCACCAGACCTGACTTTGACTTGAGGTCCGACCGCGACTAGAGCACACGATTTTCGTTATTAGTTATTTGGTCTATATAATCTCTTTTTGAACCATGTCTAGGAACATCATCGATATTTATCTATCTAAATGCTGATGATATACCTTTACTGAACATTATTGTTTTAGAAAAGTAAAAATATGAGAATTTAGAATTATCAGCACCGACACTAAGTCTTTTAATTTGTTCAAAGTGAAAAAGTACCTGGTACCAGTAGAACAGTTCTCCTCACTCCAGGAACTAACATGAAGTGGATACATAAACCACATGCAGGAATGCCCTCGCTGTTTAAGAATATATTTTCCTAACCTGTGGCACGACAATTAACAAGTTCTTTTTTTCTAGAATTCTCATTTCTGAAAATAGTCGAAGTGGGTGGACATCAATAAACTAATTGCGAACTAACGACTTAAATGTCTGGGCAAAACATTTCGAGAAATTATCGATTACTACGTACAGAAGACTCTGTTTGAGAATAAAGATGTGAGCTGTCTCCCAGAGTTGCAGATAGTCTGTTCTTCGGTGGAATAAGCAGTATGAGCTATCTATTACCTATAAAACTGAACTTGTTTCAGAACATGTGCAAATACGCATGCACAGTTTTAGGAAAACCCTCTAGAATAACAATCTACTGGGGTTTACACTACGTATCCTTCTCATCTAGCGGGCACGTACTTCTTCAAATCTTTGGTAATGATGGGGAGGTTCAATGCCGGAAACTAAATTCGCGACGTTTCTCGATTGAATGAGCAAAGCCTTGGCGGTACTTGCAATTCAATGTCATGTCTGAATGAACATAGCCGTCTCACTCCAGAGGCTCACACAAATTACAAGTAAAACAGGATCAACGTGAATACTCTCTAATTGGGGAACGTATAAAAATAGCAATAAACTTATTTACACCTTTTCAGGTCTATTCTTCACATACTTTTCTTTAATTCGACATCAAATTATCATTCCCATATTGACACTATATAAAACCCGTTGTAGGTTTCCATCACAATAATAGACTACTGTCAATGTACTTCAAGAGAACGAAAGTTTGAGCAGTTCGGACACGAGGAAATGTACCTAAAATACTGCGTTGGGATCTATTGAGTAACGCTGTAACCACTAGACTACCCACCGCCCCGACATGTTATAATTGCAAACGGTACTTTGTGTTTCTTGAATAACCTGCAGTTTGTAATCTGCGCCAGAATCGGAGTATTTCAATTCTGTGCTTTGTTTGTATGGAGGTCTCAGGCCATATCACCACGGGCAGCCAAATTTGGGGTTTTCATGCCAACTGCTAAGTAAAATCTACAGGCTCGATTCTGTACAGCATTGATTCAATTGAATTCTTTAGTGCCCCAAATTGCCGACCCATATGATAAGACAAGCTCAACGAGATTCTCACACAAAGAATTAAAACATTATAAACAAAACAATCCGCTGCTCTGAATTTACAAATTATAACACTAAGTGTTCTATTTGCGAATTTAGCTGATTCCCTTAGGTAAAATTTAAATCTAAATCTTCTTGCAACCAGACCTTAATAAGCGTGGGTATTCATTGAAGATAAATAGCTCTAAAATAATCTGTAGACGCTACTAAATAAAATTCACTCTATTATAACAATGTTTTAGCAGAAATTACCCTATTCATAGATCTATCTACTCCAGACTTGGATTACGCTTCCCGGTAATTATTCACCGCAACCTATATGTGATATTTGGGATTACACTTTCTAGTAAAGTACAGATTCTAGTACTTTTGCTAGGTTTAGTCCCATCCGGGATTCGAACCCACACCCTCAGAGTCAGGCACCTAATCGCCAGCACACAAAGCCGCCTAACTCGCTCATCCACCGTGACTTCCAGATCCCGGACGGGACTCAACCAAACAAAAGTACTAGAATCTCTACTTTACTAAGAAAGTGTAATCCCAAATATACCATAGGTTACATTTGACCACTTTCTAAATGGCACTGTATAATCAATTATTCACCGTATCTTTAGCATTGGCGGTATTCCCTACTACTCCTGGGATATCCGAAATATATATTATATTTTAGCCTTCGCGGCACGACAGCGATGAGTCAGTGAGTGAGTTGAGTTTTACGCCGCACTCAGCAATATTCCAGCTATATGACGGCGGTCTGTAAATAATCGGGTCTGGGCCAGGTAATCCAGTGATCAACAGCATAAGCATCGATCTGCGCATATGTCAACCGATGATATGTGTCAACCAAGTCAGCGAGCCTGACCAACCGATCCCATTAGTCGCCTCTTACGACAAGCATTGGTTACTGAAGGCCAATATTCTAACCCGGTCCTTCACGGGTGACGACAGCGATGAGAACAGGTATGGCACACATACACTCTGCTGCAGTGATTAAAGCTCGGAAACTACGTCTCGCCTCGGTGGATGATGCAGACCGGTTATCCTCTAGCCTTCATATTTTGTATTTACTTCTACTGGGTTGATGTAACTGTGGGTGGGCTGACGTCCTCTTATGTCCATCTGAATCGGTGTATCGGATGGATACTGGAGCCTGGTTATTGTCTGGTGTTGGCTTACATTATCTGTTTTGTTTTATTTGACGTCTGGACCAACCTTTGGAAATGTTAAATTACTACGCCCGTATATGGCAAAAGATAGCTTCTGACCATTTTAAAGTTTGGACATACATGTTTTATCTATTGTGTGCTTTTAGCATGTTTTACTTGATGTATTAACTTAATAGAATGGAATCGGATGATACGGTGACCTGGATCATTAGCAACCACGATATCTTAACAGTTTCTTGATTCACTGTTGTGTTGTTTTTAAAGAACGTTCAGTCATCCCATCACTTGTTCTCGGAAATACTTACATGAAACCAGAAGAGGTCGGCGTGTCAGTCCAACAACGTGTACACTGCTTCCATAATCTGAAAGGTGAGAGTCAAATGTCTGAAAATATTTAGGTAGTGTCTGGTATGAAACACTTTGCACTGTTTGCCAATGGACGTACATAGAATTTGTTTTGGGACTTCACAGATAATAATCACGATGTAACATAATATAGATTATTAATTTTTCTAAAAAATATTTTATCTTGTCCCCTGCAAAGGCAACAAAACCTAACCATAACAAAAGCATATATCTGCTTAAAAGCTGTGTCTGTTATACTCTTTATAACTATTATACTATTATATCATAAGTAAAAGAGTGTGTGTGGTTGTGTGTGTGTGTGTGTTTCTATTTGAATCCCTTTCAAATATAACTAACATCACAAACCCTTCCCTTTCAAGTTTAAAGCAAGAGAAAACTGTGATGTTAAAGTATACACTTCAACATACAATGCATAAAACAGTTTGGTAGTGGTTTGCAACGGATCGAAATATCTAGTACACACGGACGTTTCTACGAACATGTAGACTGGTTGACGACAAAAGAAAATACACATCAATATGTATGTGTAAATGTCTTCTTATATACTCCCACGTGAACATGTTTTATTTAATGTGTATTATACATTATTACCTATGTGGGAAGGAGGACACGGGGTAGTATTTTTCCTGTAAGTCCCTAGGGAGGTTACACCTTTTGGTGAAGGTTGATTGGCTGTTTCAGAAAATAAACAGCCAATCACTGTATATTGTGCAATTACATCCTACCTTACTAAACGTACCTTGATATTTGTATCTTCATACATGTGTCACGCCCACACACGTGGTAAAAAAGCAACTACACGTAAAGGATGGCCTTCCATTTTATGATCATTAGAAATACTAGCCATGGTGCTGTACCAAAATACTCCCCCAACCGGTGTTTTGCTCACGTTGGGACACGACTCCTTTTCAGTTCTGTCCTTCCGAACAATGTAGAGCATTGCACTTATTGATATATACTGCTAGAAAAGTTAAAGAACACTATCCCCGTGAAGATCCGGGTTAGAATTATTGATCTTCAGTAAACCATGACTACCGGGATCGGGTGGTCAGGCTCTCTGACTTGGTTGACACATACCATAGTATTCCAATTGATTGCGGAGATCGATGCTGTAGTTGATCACTGAATTGTCTGGTCCAGACTCGATTATTTACAGACGGCCGCCAAATAGCTGTAATATTGCTGAGTGCGACGTTAACCAACCAACCAACCAAGTAAATACCACTGACACCTCGAGTTCTGTGTGTTTGCATTATCCACCACTTATGCAGATAAACTATAGTCGTGTAAAAGAAAGGGTGTTCTTTAACTTTTCAGTAGTATATGAATACATTTTGTATTGGAAACTTCAATAAGAACAAAATAATAAACTTTTGATTTCGGCCAGCAAACAATATGTTTAATGTGGCACTGTGAAAATCTACCTTTTTCCAGACAGCCATTGTTTGCTTTCAGTTCCATGAGTTGCTGCTCGTCGTCTCTGATGATCTGCAAGAAAAGCAGCGACGTACAACAAGGCAGTAAAGAATAAGCCAGGTACATAGATAGACAGGTAGGGGGAGGTAGGTAGGTAGTAAGAGAGGAAGGGAGGTAGGTATGTAAGGCGGTAGGTTTAAGGAGGGAGGTAAGTAGGTAGGCAGGGAGGGAAGGAGGTAAGTACGTAAGTAGGCAGGGAGGGAGGTAAGGAGGCAGGGGAGAGGGAGGGAGGTATGTATGTAGGAAGGTAGGGAGGGAGGAGAGGGAGAGGGTTAGTAGGTAGGGAGGCAGGAGGCAGGGAGGGAGGGAGGTAAGTAGGCAGGGAGGGAGGGAGGCAGGGGAGGGAGATAAGTAGGTAGGGAGGTAGGGACAAAGAGAGGGAGGAGGTAAGTAGGTAGGTAGGTAGGGAGGGAATGAAGGAGGTAAGTAGGGAGGGAGGGGGAGGAAGGGGAGGTAAGTGTGTGTGAGGTAGGGAGGTAGGTAGGTAGGTAGGTAGGTAGGGGAAGAGAAGATGGGTAGGTAGGTAGGGAATTAGGGACAAATGGGAGGGAAGTAGGTAGCAGAGGTAGGTAGAGAGGAAGGGAGGTCTGCAGGGGGGAGGTAAGTGTAGAGGTAGGCAGTCAGGGAGTTAAGCAGGGGAGGGAGGTGTGGGGCAGGTAGAGGGGAAGCAGGGAGGGGAGGCAAGGAGGGAGGGACGGAGGTGGTAGGAAGGGAAGGATACCGTAAGCAGCGGCATGGAGGCAGGTATGAGGAACGACCAGGCGGTAAGTACAAGAGAGGAGTGTGCAGTAAGGAATCAAAGTAGGAACGGAAGGAGAGCAGTAAATAACCGAGGGAAGGAGGCAGGGAGTTAGTACAATTGTAGAAAGGGAGGTCATGTAGGTAGAGGGGTAACTGTATGAGTGGGGTAGGCAGGTGGCAGAGGTAGGTGGAATGGGACAAATGGAATGGAAGGAATGAAGGTAGTAGAGAGGAAGGGAGGTGGGGGAGTGGCAGAGGTAGTGAAAAGGGTGGAGGGAGGTGGTGGAGGAGGTGCAAGTGTGTGGTGGTAGGTAGTGGTAGGTTGAGGCAGGAGGTGGATGGAATAACCGACAAACGAACCAGATAAATATGGAATCGAACGCGGCACACGGAAACGGAGGAGGACCACACGGGAGGCATGACACGGGAGGAAGGCATGGAGGAAATATGGAAGGAACAACCGACGACACAACATGGATTGATTCATCTGAAGATGGATGTGGATAACACACGGAGAGCCGGAAATGGAACACACGGAACATCATGGATGAACAAAGGAAGACGGAGCCCCAGTGGAACGCAACAAAGGAAAGCCACACATAATCTTAGCCCACACCATTGTAATGGCACACAGGAAGCCGACCCTTGCCTGACACATGAAACAGCTGGAACGGACAGGAGCCTGAAACGGAAATGAAAGACCGAAGAATAAAATGGAGGGTCATTTATGAATGGAATTGAATGGAAGGAAGGAATATCTGGATATACAACAACGGAAGAAGATAATAAGGACACCAATAGTTTATGCACATACGAATGGAAAGAAGATTGATAACTGGATGATGGATTGAATGAAGAATAAAAACACATAAGGATAGTGGAATATGGATGGAATAACGGCCTGGAACATGGATGGATGGAATAACGGGATAATGGACGGAAGAGATGGAATAGATGGATAACTGGAATGGATAATGGAAGATATTGAAGGAAGGAAGGAGGATGGATAACTGGAATGGAAGAAGATAATAAGATAGAAGGAGGATGGATAACTGGAATGGAACAAACATGGAAGGAGATGGAATGGAATGGATGGAATCAACATGGAGATGGATAACCTGGAATGGATAACATAAGATGGAATGAGATGAAATAATGGAATAGTCAATGCCCGGAAGAGATGGGATAACTGGAATGTATTAGTTGAAAGATAACGCCACGTGTACAAACAATATAAGATAGCTTTATAGAGATGGGATAACTGGAATGTATTAGTTGAAGATAACGCCCATCAGGTACAAACACATAAGATAGCGTTTATAGAGATGGGATAACTGAATGTATTAGTTGAAGATAACGCCTCGTGTACAAGCACATAAGATAGCTTTGTAGAGATGGGATAACGATATGTATTAGTTGAAGATAATGTCTCATGCGTGTACAAACACATAAGATAGCTTTATAGAGATGGGATAACTGAATGTATTAGTTGAAGATAACACCTCGTGTACAAACACATAAGATAGCTTTATAGAGATGGGATAACTGAATGTATTAGTTGAAGATAATGCCTCGTGTACAAACACATAAGATAGCTTTATAGAGATGGGATAACTGAATGTATTAGTTGAAGATAACACCTCGTGTACAAACACATAAGATAGCTTTATAGAGATGGGATAACTGAATGTATTAGTTGAAGATAATGTCTCGTGTACAAACACTTAAGATAGCTTTATAGAGATGGGATAACTGGAATGTATTAGTTGAAGATAATGTCTCGTGTACAAATACATAAGATAGCTTAATAGAGATGGGGTAACTGAATGTATTAGTTGAAGATAATACCTCGTGTACAAGCACATAAGATAGCTTTATAGAGAGATGGGGTAACTGAATATGTATTAGTTGAAGATAATGTCTCGTGTACAAACACTTAAGATAGCTTTATAGAGATGGGATAACTGAATGTATTAGTTGAAGATAATGTCTCGCGTACAAACACTTAAGATAGCTTCATAGAGATGGGATAACTGAATGTATTAGTTGAAGATAACACGTCGTGTACAAACACATAAGATAGCTTAATAGAGATGGGATAACTGAATGTATTAGTTGAAGATAACGCCTCGTGTACAAGTACATAAGATAGCTTAATAGAGATGGGAGTAACTGAATGTATTAGTTGAAGATAATACCTCGTGTACAAGCACATAAAGATAGCTTTATAGAGATGGGATAACTGAATGTATTAGTTGAAGATAATGTCTCGTGTACAAACACTTAAGATAGCTTTATAGAGATGGGATAACTGAATGTATTAGTTGAAGATAATGTATAAATCGTGTACAAACACTTAAGATAGCTTTATAGAGATGGGATAACTGAATGTATTAGTTGAAGATAATACCTCGTGTACAAACACATAAGATAGCTTAATAGAGATGGGATAACTGAATGTATTAGTTGAAGATAACGCCTCGTGTACAAACACATAAGATAGCTTTATAGAGATGGGATAACTGAATGTATTAGTTGAAGATAATACCTCGTGTACAAACACATAAGATAGCTTTAATAGAGATGGGATAACTGAATGTATTAGTTGAAGATAATGTCTCGTGTACAAACACATAAGATAGCTTTATAGAGATGGGATAACTGAATGTATTAGTTGAAGATAACGCCTCGTGTACAAACACATATGGTAGCTTTATAGAGATGGGATAACTGAATGTATTAGTTGAAGATAATGTCTCGTGTACAAACACATAAGATAGCTTTATAGAGATGGGATAACTGAATGTATTAGTTGAAGATAACGCCTCGTGTACAAACACATATGGTAGCTTTATAGAGATGGGATAACTGAATGTATTAGTTGAAGATAATGTCTCGTGTACAAACACATATGATAGCTTTATAGAGATGGGATAACTGAATGTATTAGTTGAAGATAATACCTCGTGTACAAACACATAAGATAGCTTTATAGAGATGGGATAACTGAATGTATTAGTTGAAGATAATACCTCGTGTACAAACACATAAGATAGCTTTATAGAGATGGGATAACTGAATGTATTAGTTGAAGATAATGTCTCGTGTACAAACACATAAGATAGCTTTATAGAGATGGGATAACTGAATGTATTAGTTGAAGATAATACCTCGTGTACAAACATATAAGATAGCTTTATAGAGATGGGATAACTGAATGTATTAGTTGAAGATAATACCTCGTGTACAAACACATAAGATAGCTTTATAGAGATGGGATAACTATATGTATTAGATGCAGCAAGCTGCCGTTTTATCTTACCTTTGTCTCGACCATTATTTGTGTTTGTCAGATTGTGATGTTGCAGAACCTGATACCTGTATAAAAGTGATAGACAAGTACATGTTAGAAGTTCCTTAATGTTTCACTTGATGTCTTGTTGCCTTTGATTTACATATAGTGTAGCACATATTCCCGTGGACTATTTATAACACGGAATCAACAAAAGAGGGCGTTTCAAGGTGTTCATCGGACACATGCATAAATGTGATTATTTTTTTAACCATGTTGTTTAGAGATGAATACACGTGATTAAGGACAGCGTACATTCTAAAGCTACTACCAATGCATTGTGTGTATTTCTACCAGACCACAGTGGACAAAGAAATAACAAGCATCATGGAAAATGTTAATGAAGTGATTTACATGGTGTAAGGGTCAAGTGGATACTGATATGACTGCAAGGAGTAATCCTGATAGGCCTTTATAAATACTTCCAACATCAGCATGGAGTTTCAGCATGAGGTGGATATGTGTAGAGCTTTAGTACATTTCATGTTCTCAACTCATGACAAGAACACATGGTATTCACCTTGCAACTGATTATGTAGTGTGTCGACAGAAACAATGTCGTCATGCTTACATCGAGTCTTCTCCCTTTCCTTTGGAAGGCCCGAACTGTTCCCCAATTTCTTCGTGACCTACTGTTGATACCGCTGATGTACCTTGCACTGGGGTGACACGTCCTGGGAAGATTGAAGGTTGTCTGCCTGGTAAACCCTGAAACTGTTGTCAGAGGTATAGGACTAGTGTTTCCATGCTGACAAATCTTATATTTGAATTCAAATTTTTTCTTAAGGTACAGGCTTAATGTCATGATTCAGATGTGGATTATAACACACACGCGCACGCCAGCACGCACGCACGCACACACTTGCTGTATTGTCAACTAATTGAAATAAAACTGCGTCATGTTCAGAAAATATTGATACTTCACTGTCAGTCTACATAGACAGTACTCACGACTTGAAACCCTGGTATCTCTATGTCTAGCAAAGATAAGTCCGCCTTGTGGTTGGCCAGGTATTCCATCACAGCCTGCCACTCCACTGAAGAACAAAATTGTGTATATAGTGTGTATATGATGCACCACGTAATATACTTATCCATAAATAATGCGTCATCAGAAATGAGCCATTGTCTCCTAGGGCAAAAGTGGTAGTAGTAATAGTGACAGTGATAGTGGTGGTAATTCTGTATGGGATATTCAGTTACATTTAACAGTTTCTAGAAACTGATTACACACCCGTGCATAATTTGTGGAGTTGTCCTTTTCTACGATCCCTGTCCTGGAAACAAAAAAGATATGTAAATAACAATATGACCCAATATATCTATCTACAACAAACGAAAGTAATGAGTATTACAATTAATTAATGGTTATGAATGTTTTCATGCATACAGTGTGTGTGGTCCAGTGTGATAACTGTTGTGAAATCATAAACAATTAGAAAAGTCTTCACCTTCAGTACGTTGTCCAGTTCTTGATTAAGTGTTTGTATCTCGTCCCAGCCTGAAAACAAACATCAAATATAGGTATGATAAACCATCTCAGTGTACATCTACGTCATCAATTGTCTAAACTCACCCTGCATATGTATCTCAATCTGTATCACAACCAATCACTCTGTATATCAACCAGCTCTGCTCAAATCACTAATTAGTAATCCAATGTACATCATGATTGTCAATTGTATATACTCACTATGCAGCTATGTATACTCTCTCATTGTTTCTCCTTGTATCACTTGTTTGGTAACGGTGTTAGTATCTACTCCGAGGCGACGTGGCATTTATTGTAATAAAGAAGTTGACTATCCACAGAACTTGGTTTTCCTTCATCTTTACAACTTCTAAAATGCCTCTAAAAGAAGATACAATAAACCTGTTCTGGGTAACCTCAATAGTGAATGACCTAATTACTGTACCGAAATCCTGCAGCATTTCATCTTCAAACTAGATACAGTTGTTATTGCTCAATGTACTACTTGACAAGTAGAACTTACCTGAAGGACACTCATAGATACTCACGGCTCTCAGGATCTTTTCCATCTGTGTTCTGCACCTCAGTTTCCATATCGTTTATCTGGCCACCTTCCTTCCATACCTGCTGAAATGTATACAGTAATGTGATCTGTGACTGGTTTTATATTCAATGGTATTAGTTGATATGTCAGCTTTCTATAATTCTTATCTTGACAGACTTCAGTTAAAGATAACATACATCTTTCCTAAATATGGAGCAATCAAACATAATATTAAATATGAAAGCAGATAATTAGGCTGCAACCCTACTAGGAAGGTAGGGTTTTAGTAAGGTACGTACTGGGATATTAGACTCCATTCCTGCATTCTCTGATTCAATGTGGAACATCTCTGGAACAAGCAAAACAAAGATTTTGTTGAAACTAACTTCATTCAATATTGAGAGAGGGTGAATTGAGAGCAACGTGCAGTCATGATAAATCCATTTTGAATCCTGCTCCAAACTAAGAAACACAAACACAACTTGCCACTTACCCATTTGTTGTTGAATGTCTGGACTTTGAACATGGCCAACCTAGAATAGAAATGACAAGTTACCTCCCTTGATCTTGCAGTAACAAGTGGAATCAAGTGAACAGACATTCCCATGGAACTGATCACAACAACTTCTTCAATCCTTATGATATTGGCACAACGATTCTCGAGATAATTTGATAATTTGATCTTAAGAATACCTCGAGTGCTACAATGTGTGTCACCACTTACCATAGCAACGCGTTGTTTCGATTCTGTATGTTTCGTTATCCCCAAAGCTGAAAGATCAAAAGAACAAACAGAAACTACAATTAAGAATCAGATATTGTGAAAATGTTTTACAGCTGCTGTACTACACATTGCTTTTAAATATGTCAATATCTGAACTGTCATTTCATTTCCTTTGGTACAATATATAATAGGTAGATAAATAACTAGATACAGATGGTGAATGGAAAAATGAAGAGCAGGTGCACGAAGATGACGGAGACAGAATGAGAGATGATTAGCATGGCAGTGAGGCACAGAATTGGGTACTTGGAGAGCGGATAAAGAGAAGAAAAATCATACGAAAAATGGATGAGTGTGAGTGAGTTTGGTTTTATGCCGCTTTTAGCAATATTTCAGCAATATCACGGCAGGGGACACCAAATATGGGCTTCACATACAATTCCCATGTGGAAAATCGAACCCGGGTCTTCGGCGTGACGAGCGAACGCTTTAACCACAAGGCTACCCAATCGCCCCGAAACATGGATGGAGAACTGAATGGAGAGATGAAGGTTGGACAAAGCTTCTGTGTTATAAGAGACACTATACATTGGATCGATGGTCAAGAATGGAAGTTGGACAGGTGAAATGATGGAGGGACACTATCAAATCCGGCAGTATTTATTTGGCTACAGAGTGTTAGAGGCGTATGGTGATCATCTGTCTTATTACCAACACAACAAACCTTCTCTCAAGAGGACATTTTAACGTCTTGACAGATCTGATCCGTTTTATCTTGGATTGTGACCTGAAACAAAATACATAGATTACTCACACTGGGTCTTTCATCATCAGGCCTTGATTGTTTGTCACTACTTTGTTTGCGATTTATACACAAGCTCTCTACAATTTCTTACCGATCTGAGAAGCGGGACAAGATTTTTCCTTTCTCTTAATCCATCATGTAAGGCTGACAACCAAGTCTCTTGTGTAGCAGACAGTTGCTTGAAACCACCCAAAGCTGAAGTGAATAAGAGTAAATAAGTAACAAATTATCACATACATATAAAATAATCGTTCCAGATTTGACCACGGCTACTCACACGCATAATGACCTTTGCTTGCTGTAAGGAGACTTGGCTTGTATTCCAGACTATGGCGTGCTTCTGGAGCCTGCAATGTGTCAAAGTGGTATACACACACAATTTCTATTTGGTATACGTTATTACACAGACATACCTTTGGTAATATGTGTGCATTATGTCCATGTTTGGAACAAGGTTGTAAATGTAAAGTAAAAATAACGGTAGGTTTCTATTAATGGACCAAATGGACAGGATTTTGGTCCCACCTCTTCTTAAGATTACACCAGTAAACAAAACAACGTATGGTTATATGTAGAATATAACTTTAAACAAAATCAACAAATGTCAGTAAAATCCTCAAGGAACTTACATAGGACATAGGTCCTGTTGATCCCAGTTTGAAACTCATACATAGATTACTCACACTGGGTCTTTCATCATCAGGCCTTGATTGTTAGTCACAACTTTGTTTGTGATTCATACACAAGCTCTCTACAATTTCTTACCGATCTGAGAAGCGGGACAAGATTTTTCCTTTCTCTTAATCCGTCATATAAGTCTGGCAACCAAGCCTCTTGTGTAGCAGACAGTTGCTTGAAACCACCCAAAGCTGAAGTGAATAAGAGTAAATAAGTAACAAATTATCACATACATCTAAAATAATCGTTCCAGATTTGACCACAGCTACTCACATGCATACTGACCTTTGCTTGGTGTAAGGGGCTTGGCTTGTATTCCAGAGTATGGCGTACTTCATGAGCCTGCAATGTGGCAAAGTGGTATAAATACACAATCACTATTTGGTATACGTTATCACACAGACATATCTTTGGTAATATGTGTGCCTTATGTCCATGTTTGGAACATGGTTGTAAATGTAAAGTAACAAATAACGGTAGGTTTTCTATAAATGGACCAAATGGACAGGATTTTGGTCCCACCACTTTTAAGATTACACCAGTAAACAAAACAGCGTATGATTATAAGTAGAATATAACTTTAAACAAAATCAACAAATGTCAGTAAAATCCTCAAGGAACTTACATAGGACATAGGTCCTGTTGATCCCAGTTTGAAACTAAATATTTTCAGCATACTGAAGTCCCTGAGGATTTGTTCAATCCGTTCCTTCCAAGATTCTGTAATATTGTTGAAAATAGAAGTGTAATAATCACCCTACACTAACTCATGAATGTATAATTTTTACTAAAAATCTTACCATTATGTTTATTGAGGTTGTTATTTGCACAAGATCCGTTATTCACATCATCATAAGCTGGTTTATTATGAACACTTACCATCAGATAATGCATCTATTTGTTTCTCCATCCCTTCGACTTCCTGTTTAAATAGAATAAATGAAAGCTTTGTTTATAATGCATCACTCGAGATCTAGAACAATACAACTTCACATTGATGGAACATTTTAACCTTCCATTTTTACCTTTCCTGATAGCGAATAAATTATTGGAATGAGATGAAATTTCTCTACTGAAGTTTGGTTTGGTTGGAATGCTAACGTATGTGGATTAGTGATCATGAAGGCGAGTCTCTTCATGAGACCAGTATTCAATTAATATGGTTCATCTTTTTGAAAATTATTGTTACAATAGGTAGTTTGGGGAAATGTATTCAAACCCCATATGGTGGCAAACTGTGGACCTATTTGAGAAATATTATGCTAAAAACATGTTTCGATGCATTTATGTGTTTATGTAGTAAGAAGCATCTCTAAACCCTGACATGAGGAGCTTATTACAGAAGTGTACATTATCATTTCTACCTCCAATATTTGGGACTTCAGTTCTTTGACAGCAGTTGGATCTGAAGTGAAGAAAGTCCAAGTCTTAACAAACTAAAATGTCTGTTGCATACAAAATGAGTATTTTGCATCACCAGCACATAAGAACTACTCTCTCGCATCTATCAAATAACATCTTTTATGACCTGACATAGCAACGTGTGTAACAAATAAAAGTCTTGTATTTTATTACCAAGTACTGAGCACTGTCTATTCAGAGTTCTACGAATATGTAAATATACTCACAGGGTGTAAATCGCCAATGTTGTCCGCTTGTTTGTGCCATGACTGTGTTGGTTTCATCGACTATATTCACACAGGACGACATGTCCACCATACTGAGATCCTCTGCTGCTACAGCTGATGGGTACACCGACCTGAAACAGGGTTTGTACAAAACTTAAGCACAGGTTTCAAGCAATCGTTCAAATGTTGGGGCCTATTAAAGGAGAGGCTCTTCCTGAGGACACACACTTACGGAATTGATATTTGGGGTTATAACATTTGTTAATTCGTGACTGGATACGACTACCAATGTTGACAATGGCAAAAACACCTAACTACATCCACTGACTAAATCAACAAACCTGAGCCTGTCCCTCTCCTTTCGTGACCTACATACAAGCAGAGTGTCCCCAGTCTGTTCAGTCTCCTAGCCACCTCCAGCATAAGAGTCGTGGCTCCACTACCGGGCATACACTTGACCTCGACGTCCTTACTGTTAATGTTCTCCACCAGAATGATACATTGTTCTTTGGTGAGAAACCTTAGAAAGTCGCCATCGGTGTCTCCACTTTCTTCTTTAGCACCGACTTCGTTTCAGCAACACCAGCCCAGAAAGCAGTCAGGACTTTCTCATACCTACTGGAAGTCATTACCAAAGAATCGTTTGTAACAAAATGAGAAGACTCCATTTGCCAGCTTCTTTAATCGATTCTTAAATCCAACAGCGTCCTCAAGGAGAGAAATGGGAATGACTCCATGGATTGAGTTGATATCCTCATCATTGAACTTGCTAAGTGTCTCTATCACTCCTCTCGCCACTGACATACTGTATGTCACTGCTTCAAGACAGTCTTCATCCCCATCAACCAGTGACAAAACTATCACAGACTGTGTTGGCAGAGCCAGGAATACATCACATACAATGTTGCTTGGTCGGGGTGATGTGCAGAAATCTAGCGCAACTGATAACGAATGGGACAAGAACATAAAACATGGTCCAGCCTTTGGGTTTGGGAGAACTACTACTTCATTAGTGAGAGGATCAAAACAAAGTCGTATACATGATTTTCTATGTGTTCGATGAGTCGTTCTTTCACTTGTGCTATAGGGTCCTTAGTTTTGTTGGCGCAAAATTCTGGCCATCTGGAAAATAAAATTAATCAAATAATACATCTCGATGGAGGTATGTCCGTTACACATAGGATAGTCCTGTGTCAATATTGTGACACTGCTTCGACACGAGTATAACACAAAGGAATCGTAAAGGGACAGGAATGCTTCACTTTGGGCAAACCTGACATGGAAGCTGATGTAATTGGGTAGCTGAAAGGCAATATGAAGGCTTTTGGGGACAATACGCCTTAGCTAATCAGAATAGTTGACCAAAACCCATTCACAAATGGCTTAGTATAAATCAACATGAGCAAGACATTGCTACATGCTTTATGGTTTGCTTCAACTGTTGAAGGCATTCCCATAGTCTACATTAATGATCTACTAAGTTTTACAATGACTTAGTTACCCTTCTCAACAAAGTATCTTCTGATTTCAAAGAGACTGTGTCCAATCTGTTTCAGGTCAGGACGAAAAATGTCATTTGTCCCAAGATAAAGATTCTGCTCATCCTCCTTTGTGATATTTTGCTGCAACATAAAGTAAAAGTTATGAATATTAAATAAAACAGAGGGAAACAGTATTGTTGATGACCGAGACGTTCAACAGCTTTCACTCCTTCAGGGAAACATTAATGGACTTGTGGATTGTCTTTTCTTTATGGATATGAGATGGTCTTTGCTTTTACCAGCTTGCAGATAAACGTTATGCCAAATATATATGCAGGTAAACTATGTTCAAATACTTATAAAGATGTTGTGCAAGTGATTAAGAAGAAGTAGACGTGGAAGCTTTTTACATGATATGTTGTGGATCTCAATGCCTATGCGTGTAGCTATTCTTGGCACAGAGGCAAACTCATGAAAACAATTGTACTTGTCCCTATTGCCAGAAACCACCACTTTCATATACTTTCGAAAACGATCACTTGACTGTGTCAAGAAAATGAAATAAATGTGTGTAAACTATTTATGTGGTAAGAAGCACATCTAAACCCTGACATGATGAGCTTATCATTACAGAAGTGTACATTATCATTTCTACCTCCAATATTTCGGACTTCAGTTCTTTGACAGCAGTTGGATCTGAAGCGAAGAAAGTCCAAGTCTTAACAAACTAATATGTCTGTTGCATACAAAATGATTTTTTTGCATCACCAGTACATAAGAACTACTGTGGATATTCTAACCCAGTGCTGTTTGCTCCCGCTCTCTCTCGCATCTATCAAAAAACATCCTTTATGACCTGACATAGCAGCGTGTGTAACAAATAAAGAGTCTTGTATTTTATTACCAAGTACTGAGCACTGTCTATTCAGAGTTCTACGAATATGTAAATATACTTTACAGGTTGTAAATCGCCAATGTTGTCCGCTTTTGTTTGTGCCATGACTGTGTTGGTTTCATGGACTATATTCACACAGGACGACATGTCCACCATACTGAGATCCTCTGCTGCTACAGCTGATGGGTACACCGACCTGAAACAGGGTTTGCACAAAACTTAAGCACAGGTTTCAAGCAATCATTCAAATATTGAGGCCTATTAAAATAGAGGCTCTTCCTGAGGAAACACTTACGAAATTGATATTTGGGGGGTTAGTAACATTTGTTAATTCGTGACTGGATACGACTACCAATGTTGACAATGGCAATAACACCTAACTACTATCCACTGACTAAATCAACAAACCTGAGCCTGTCCCTCTCCTGTCGTGACCTACATACAAGCAGAGTGTCCCCGAGTCTGTTCAGTCTCCTAGCCACCTCCAGCATCAGAGTCGTGGCTCCACTACCGGGCATACACTTGACCTCGACGTCCTTACTGTTTATGTTCTCCACCAGAATGATACATTGTTCTTTGGTGAGAAATCTAAGAAAGTCGCCATCGGTGTCTCCACTTTCTTCTTTTAGCACCGACTTCGTTTCAGCAACACCACCCCAGAAAGCAGTCAGGACTTTCTCATACCTACTGGGAGTCATTACCAAAGAATCGTTTGTGACAAAATGAGAAGACTCATTTGCCAGCTCCTTTAATCGATTTTTAAATCCAACAGCGTCCTCAAGGAGAGAAATGGGAATGACTCCATGGATTGAGTTGATATCCTCATCAGTGAACCTGCTTAGTGTCTCTATCACTCCTCTCGCCACTGACATACTGTATGTCACTGCTTCAGGACAGTCTTCATCTCCATCAACCAGTGACAAAACTATCACAGACTGTGTAGGCAGAGCCAGGAATACATCACATACAATGTTGCTTGGTCGGGGTGATGTGCAGAAATCTAACGCAACTGATAACGAATGGGACAAGAACATAAAACATGGTCCAGCCTTTGGGTTTGGAAAATCTACCACTTCATTGGTGAGAGGATCAAAAACAAAGTCGTATGCATGATTTTCTATGTGTTCGATGAGTCGTTCTTTCACTTGTGCTAAAGGGGTCCTTAGTTTTGTTGGCGCAAAATTCTGGCCATCTGGAAAATAAAATTAATCAAATAATACATGTCGATGGAGGTATGTCCGTTACACATAGGATAGTCCTGTGTCAATTTTGTGACACTGCTTCGACACGAGTGTAACACAAAGGAATCGTAAAGGGACAGGAATGCTTCACTTGGGCAAACCTGTCATGGAAGCTGATGTAATTGGGTAGCTGAAAGGCAATATGGAAGGCTTTTAGGGGCAATACACCTTAGTTAATCAGAATAGTTGACTAAAACCCATTCGCAAATAGCTTCAGTATAAATCAACATGAGCAAGACATTGCTACATGCTTTATGGTTTGCTTCAACTGTTGAAGGCATTCCCATAGTCTACGTCGATGATCTACTAAGTTTTACAATGTCTTAGTTACCCTTCTCAACAAAGTGTCTTCTGATTTCAAAGAGACTGTTTCCAATCTGTTTCAGGTCAGGACGAAAAATGTCATTGGTCCCAAGATAAAGATCCTGCTCATCCTCCTTTGTGATATTTTGCTGCAACATAAAGTAAAGGTTATAAATGTTAAATGAAACAGAGGGAAACATTATTGTTGATGACCGAGACGTTCAACAGCTTTCATCGCTTTAGGGAAACATTAATGGACTTGTTATTGTCTTTTATTTATGGATATAAGATGGTGTTTGCCTTTACCAGCTTGTAGATAAACGTTATGCCAAATATATATGTACCTACCAGAAGCTTCCACATCCTGCCTGCAATAATCAAAAGTCGAGACATGAAGAATATTGAAAAAGACATTTCCATCGACCAGTACCACACTACGTTCTCAATAAAGATTACTCGAATACAGCATGATATAAGATTAGATTGTGTAGCGAGGCATCATGATAAAGACGGATTCGAACAGCTTATATCAGAGAATTCTTAATGATTACGACAAGGGTTTCATACAATACTTTCATGTAGAGATTAATTTGACAAAGATGATCAAGGATAATACCTGGTGTATAATTGCTATAGAAAAGCAGTTCATCTCTATATATATATATATATATATATATATATATACATGAATATAAACACATACACACACACATATATATATATTACACACACATATATATATATATATATATATATATATATACCGTCACTATGTTTGAAATATGTATCGTATTAAGCAGAACCTTTAAAGGAAAACATTAGAATTCAAATCAATTTTCGTCAGTTCATTATATATATATATATATATATATATATATAAATATATATATGTGTGTGTGTGTGTGTATATATATATATATATATATGTGTGTGTGTGAATATGTATCATATTAAGGAAAACCTTAAAGGAAACAAATTAGAATTCAATTAAAACCAATCTACGTTTCTCTGCTCAACCTTCGATACTTTCATTTCGTCCATAATTCTTACGGGTGTACGTTAAAATACAATACCAAGTCATAGTCTGTACAATTTTGGTTAACAATACCGTGATTATATTAGAAATTCACAAGAGGTAGTGCGAGATGGTGGCTCAGTGGCATATCTGAAATTTGTGATTGTCGCCCTGATTATACACGTGCATTGCAGGATCTACGGGATAACATTAAACAAAAAATCCTTGTCCCCCCATGGATACGAAACGATGGATTGCTGGTGATGGTGTCACGACTTATGGCTATGGACACCGTTGTATTATCCCTTAAGTAACCAGAGACATCCATTGATGTCCCTGAACCACACCACTCTCCTTTTAAACCACCGCTGGGAGCTGGATTAGCCAGAAATAACGCTTTTGGTAAAAGTGGTCCCACACCCCTTTTCCGATGTTGCTGTCTGTGACGAGCAATCTTTCAGAAAGTATTAAAATAGGGTTTCTGTGAAAATTGCACATAAGAGAAAATTGTGGACAAAACCGACTAACATGACAGCAAACTGAAAACTATGGACTCCCAGGCGCTTTGTTTTTACATCAATGGAAGGGACACCCTCTCTCAGTCGTGATTTCCAATGGTTTTACTTCCACGAAATAATATAGTACCGACACGATATTGTTATTCATAATACGGTATTAATGTTCTATATCCTCTTTGCTGTGAAGAAGAACGGTTTTGAAACGCGAGATGAACGTTGCC